TTACAAAAAAAGTTATCATGCTTACATTTCGTTACAAAATGATAACATAATTTTGTGAAATTTTTGTGTAAAAATTTTAAACTTGGGGTGCTGGAGTGACGGAGCTGTGAAACTCCTTGATAATATAGAACACACACACATAGGTACGCTGTACAATGACAATGACGTATCTACATCTATATGGTATATAGTAGGGCTTACTATTTCACGTGTACTTAAATACACGGATACGCTTGTAAGTTGTAATTATGAAACACGAGTATTAACTCGTATATTTAATAATACACGGATTTTTGGGTATTTAATAACACGTATTTTCGGATATTTAGAAATACACGTGTATTTAATAACACGGTTACTTTCAAAGTCATAGTATATTAATTATTAATACAAACTGGGTAAGTAGTACCTAACTACTAGACTAAATCCTTATACCTTGGATCGAGAAGAGATGATATTTGGCTTACGCTTRTAGTGTCGGATGAGGCGGATGAGCAGTATTCTAGAGTAAAACGGTTTTGAATTTCTGATAATAATGTTTGCTTGAAATTTATTTCAAATTCATTCTCAGTTTCAAGTATTGATAAATGTTTTTGAATTACTTTATTTAATAGTGGTCTGACYATTGACACTGGAGAATGCTTTTCGCTRCAAAACAATGTCGTTATTATTACTTGGAGTGGTTTAAGATACTTGATGAGAAAATCTATCATTGACCATTGGCTCCCTGTAATCTCAAACTTCTGTGCTACATTTGCACTTATAGTGACTCGATCAGACGAGACATTACACTGGACATCGATTTCACAATCGATGAGTGATTGAGAGTTTGTTGGCCATATATTAGGTATAAATTTCAAGTTTCGGCCCAATGATCCAGTAGGTACTTCCACCGGCACATGCAAATCCATTTAAATCGTCTTCATCGCACATATTACAATAGGTAACCTTTATCTCCTACACGCTTGGCATACTGCCATACCCAACTTTTTGATTTTCGTTGTTAGATCTGGGAGTATTATTATAAACTATTAAATTAAGMATTAGGTAAAACCGCCGTGAGGATTAGTGTACGTCGATAAGACTACGCCGTTATAAGTCAAACAAGTAACAAATAAAAATTAAAACAATTTTATTGTAGKACAAATTTAATAATATAGATAAAYATTTTTCTATTTATAAAAACACGTTTTGTATAATATAAATTAAATTTTGTATTTTCTAAATACACGCAAAATTAAGAAAAACCCGTGTATATATATTTACACGTGATTGATATATTATGAGAATCCGTGTACTGTGTGCACGTTAAAAAAAGCACGGGTAAATACACGGTTAACAGAATTCGTGTACACGTGTAAGATTTTAATGCCCCTTGGAAATCATAAGCCCTAGTATGTAGTATGTTTATATATTATAGGTATTGTGTCTATGGTATATCTGAATAGTTCGATAAGTATATAGTATACATAGTTTTAACCACGGACTAATTCGCAATAACTAAAAAAGGTGACAAATTTAAAACAATTAATCGATTTTTGAAATAGTTACAATGATAAACCTATATGATAACCAATACAGGTTATTGAGAACGGACTTCTTTCAAAATAATTTTTCATATACATGATTTTTACCAAAACGCTATAATAATGTTATATATTTATACGTCAAACACGTACCTACAATATAAATTAAACATTTTTTGGCTACACGCTAGGTACGCTAATAATAGTGTAGTGTAATGACCCGACATGCCAGTTTTAGAACCACAGATCTAAATTATATTACACTTTTACAAGTTTCGCACTCATCATTGATACGTGAAATGCTTAATATCCAGAATATAGTTATTTGTAGTTACTTTATACCTAATATATTATGAAAAAAAATTTTGAAATAGGCTCCTAAAAACCTAGTCGTTTTTATTCTCTGTTAATGTAGGTATTGACAGTGGTATTAGGACATTTGTTAGTTGTAGGAGGTACTCACATCGACAATATAAATTAAAAATTTAGGTAGGTAGCTATTTATAAATAATTTATATCGATTAAGAATTATGTGGGAACACTATAATAATAATATTATATACCTACCTATTTATGTACACTTTTTTTTTATTTATGACTTAGGCACACGAATTTTTAATGTACTCTAGTTTCATGTTTGCTGATATGTTGTTATTAACGTATTTCACTGTTGTATAGGTGCCTACCGTAGTAAAATTCCAATACAAGTATAAGTACCTAGTATAACTGATGCAACTTAATAAATTGATGTAGGTATGTGTAAAGGATAATATGATATTTTATGTGTTTATGTTTAAAATACGTGTATTGAAATATTGTATACAATATAAAATTATTTAATGTCACGATATATTTATTTTCATTGACCATTATAAATAAACCCTTGAATTTAAAATTATTATTAACCATTAAGTATATATATAATGGTACGAAATTACAATTTTTGTAGGTTCGAGATTACACGCGCTTTTGTCTAGTTCTATGGGGCACAAATTATACTTTTTGTATGTGTCATCTCGACTACCAAAATATTTCCAAGACTACCAATTAACATCAACGTAATCTTATGCGCAAGCGAAGTACCTACCTACGTATAAGTCGGTATACATTGTTTCGCAAATGTCCTACATCCTTTTTTTWAAAAATAATTATACATGTCTTACACCCATTTAAAAATAAGGTACCTACCTACTACTAGATAAGTACCTACCTTGTGTACAAATTATATCATAGCAATAGCAAATAAATAATGAATGGGTAAGCGAGGGTAAGTAGAGGATCAGTGTTTTGAATGGTAGGTACGTGCAGTTTGTGCGTTCGTGGTTCGTCCTATCAAATTAGCACTTCAGTCTTTCACAGACTCGGATAAAAATAACGCGGATGACCCGGATAACTATGCAGATCCGATGCGCATAACATTGACGTCATGCGTGCAACAAATACATCGAAGTTCCCGATTAAAATGTCGTGCATCCAACGTCATTTTACACACAATACATACCACAAACCCGTACTCAATGTGATCATATAGTATCATGTTTATTTCTATCATGCACAAACTAACTCACTAATAGACCATTATTCTATGATAAAGAGCAGGGGGGAAATATTACAAGTTTCTTCTTTATTTTCCCTAGTGGGCTGTGCCATTGCCGCATGATGGGGACTGAGCTGTTTGTACATTGCTTGGTCTCTATAAACCTTAGGTATCTATAATAGCATTTGGTTTCACTCTATTTACATTACACTTGTCTATTATAATTATTTGTCCTTTGATTCCTGTATCATATTTGCAGTGTTGTAAAAAATACTTTTAAAAAGTATTTAAGTAATTACTCAAATACTTATAAAATAAAGTATTTAAAATACCACCCAAATACTATCTATAGTAAAGTATTTTTGTCTTTTGAGTATTACTCAAATACTTTTTAAAAGTATTTGACATAATTTTCAAATACAAAACAAAAAAATCAATTTAATTCTGAATAATTCATAATATATTAATATATAATATTAATCGAACATTTGTGTGTTGCATTTTAAGAACATAATTTGTTCGAAATGCTTATCAGTCATATAAGTTCTTTTTTTGGTGATTGTTGCACCACCAACACTTAACACTCTCTCTACTGACGCACTGCTAGGTAGTAGCATTGAGTATAGATAGTATATATCTATACTCAATGGTAGTAGGTACCGATAACGTACCGTTGCGAATTGCGATGGTCGTCGACGATAAACAGACGRTTTCTCGGAGTAAAACATATTCAGTTAGGCTATTAATAGACGAAAACTAAAACCGATATCGAATTGTTCATAAATGATAAAATAATATTATATTTATAATATTATTATGACATTATTATTATTTGACAATGAATAAAGAATTATAGGAATAAAAAAAGTATTCAATAAAATAGTATTTAATACTAAAAAAAAATGTATTTAAAATACCGTTCAAACACTTCAAAAATAAAAGTATTTTAAAAAGTATTTGAATACTTTTATTCAAATACTTTAACTCAAATACTTTACAACACTGCATATTTGTAAATTAATCAAGTGTTTTTGGTTTGAATAAAGTATGAATATCTGAATTGAGAATATGATTGACAATCAATTATTTAGCTGAATCAATTCTAACTATTTTAATGGCTAACCTTATGTATCAATACATTTTTCCGTCCATTTCACTAGACAGTCAACTCTACAACATAAATGTTAAGTATCTTTGCCATAATGAGTATGACTATTTAATGTATGATTTTGTTAAAATTGTTTTAAAGTTAGATACACTAACCACCAAATACTTGTCAATTTATCAATAAAGAAATAACTTACACATTATAAGGAAAACATATTTGGATAATTCAAACTGTTTAAATGTCTATCATTGTAAGTTTAGCAATTAGAACTGTTTTCGAAACAAATAATTGCTTTAATTTAGCGAATTTCTATAATCTATAGAAAACAGCTGCTAAATTAAACTATTTTGAGTATTCGAGCAATCCAACCATATCATAATTCCTGACAAAAAATGTACCAACACATAATATTAGATGTAATTATATAGATCAACAACCCAATAAGTTCTTATCAAATTTCAAGTTTGGTTGAAGAAAATGTAAACATGTTAATCGTATTAAAGTTATTTTAGTCAAACCAACAAAATAATATAAAGATTACAAAATTTATTTAAATAAACAAAATGTCACATAATAGAAGTACTACAAAAGTTTCAAACTATAAAATAAGACATGTCTAAAATATATTTTTTTTTAAATCTTTAAAGTTTTAATAGACATGCAGTGTTTTATTGATTTGATATTTGTAATATGGAAAAACTAGTTTTACATGAATAACTGAAATAATATGAATACATTTTTCAATTAAATGATAATATTAAATTAAGCTGTCGAAAATTACAACTCACATAATGTTCATAATATAATAAATAATTACAAAGATTATAAATACTTTCCTTAATTACTAGAATTATATTTTATTTGCTTTGTTTTGTTCTAAACAATATTGGGATTAAAWGTATAATGATAAAGTTTTGTTGAATAATAAATGGCATACGTAACATAGTCATGTAATTATTTTATAAAGATTTTTGTAAGTATTCATCAAAGAGATAAAGAGACAAGCTTGGATCAGGTTGATTGGCAATCAAATGCTTCAAATCATTGGTGTGACCAGACAATTGTCTTATGATTTCAGAATGTTGATGTACGAAGTTATTCTCCAAGTATGATGCGACCTAATAAAATGACAAACACAAATTAAATTATCAGTTGATAGGTTATTTTGGACAAAAACAATTATTGTTTTATTTAAGTTAATTCCAAAATAAAAATTCGCACCTCAGGATCATGTTCTTTTCTGCGTGTGACTTCAGCATGAATGAAATGAGCCTCTTCAGCTAAACCTTTTTGCATATCCAAAGCTCTTGCCATACTTCCCAATTCATACATTTCAAAATCAATTTGCTATTGAAATAAAAAATATTATAGTAACTCAATATTTATAAGTAATAGTTTGATTAATTTTATTCTTAAAAAAATAAAACCATAAATACTTTTTCATTCTTCTCATCTTTGCGTAAGCGGAAGTTCATGTGTCCTCCTCGTTTACCAATAAACTTAACAAGATCAATTGCTTGTTCCCATGTTTTATCAGACAATTGTCTGTAAAGTTTTTCAAAACCACCACGGTTCTTTTCAAAATTACCAAAGTGAGAAGACTAAAAGAAACAAATACATAATGATATAAGTAACAATGTAACATATATGATTCAGTAAAGATATTTATATAAACTATACATAAATAATATTATATATTAGGCACAGACTCGGATAGGCCAGTCAAGCATTCAAGAAAATCTCAAAGGGCCACTAACATTTTGGACTGATATGAGAAATTTTCTGCAATGCCCGCGTTACTATTTTTATGACAGCTATATTATTATTTATTAATATAAAAATTTGTCCAATATAGGCTACTATAGAAAATAACGGGTCAAATGACAAATATTTCTCGAAAGGCCAAAACTACCCACTAGCCTTAATTAGGCATATACTATACCTATTATATTTATAGGAAATAATTACAAAAACTTAAATTATAGTTGACAGAATGGTTAGAAATAATATATATATTATAAAACACTCTATCAGCAAAATCAAAGTTACATACATTAAGTCTTTAAAGAGAACAATCACTTTTTGCGTATCGTGAATGATAAGTTTTGGCGCATCAAGAGCCACGTGATTGAGTTAGCAGACTTTGGATTGTCACATATTGGCGAGAGAAGCGAAATACTGACCACATTTAGTAAGCAGACTGATTATTCTCTTTTGAGACATAGTATAGATATTAAGATTTAAATTTTTTATACAATATTGAGCAAATAATGCCTAAGTTATTAAGTAAAATAATTATCAAAATATCTAATTAATACTATAAATATAAGAAGATCATATAATCTATTTATTGTTATTATTTATTAAGGGGATTGAATATCACTGTAAAAATGTAGTAATGAAGACCAAAAAGCGAGACATTAGTGTGGAGCTTTGGGTTATCGAAATTTATTTTATAGTCTATTACACTAATGAACGCTTATTACTAGGGCTCGGATGTTGTTGCATTTGCAATTTTTTTTCTATTGTTCTGATTCGTAGATAAGTAAGTTATAAATTTGTTTCAAACGAGTACCAATTAATATATAAAAATTTTAAGTGCAACTTTTTGCAATTTTTGACCTTTTTCAATTTTATTGCAATTTTGTTGATTGTCGTCATTTTCAATACAATTTTATATATGTTTTTATGTTTTCACTTTTTTTTGTTAGATTATACGTGCAATAATTTTTAAGGTAAGGTAAAGGTTTTTTTTTAAAAATAGTTTAAATAAAAAGTTTGAAATTTTGATAAAATTATTTGTAGATTTCTRAAAAAATAAGAAGAYCGCACAATWTACMAGATTTTTAATGACAACTGACGAGAATTTGAATTTGAATCTTTTTATAATCTACTCGTTTAAAATCTATCTAATAAAACTTTATAAAATTACTTAATCCATTTCATAAAATAATTTGGTAATATATATATATATTTTTTTTTTTTGGTACAAATTATGTTTTTATTGCAATTTTGGGTTTTTTTCACAGCAATAATGCAATCAATTTTATAACATTTTTAGTACAACATCCGAGCCCTACTTATTACGCATACATTTATACAACATGCATGCATAATCTAACAAATTGCCTATATTAAACTCCTTAAAAAAGATTGGTACCTAATCCCCTTAGCAGATAAACATGACATAATTAAATTTAAAGTGAAAATTAAAATTAATTATAATAATTATTTACCATTAGCAAGAATTGAAAACTACGCAAAATATGTGTGTTGGCATAGCTTTGTACATTTACCAATAGTTCATCACCCTTAAAAGCTCCATATCTTGAATTACAGTTTTGGACTTCTCCTCCTGTAATATTGCATGGAACATTTAATATGAAAAATAAATATTGTAACTTATAAAAATAAAAAAATATAAAACAAACCAACTGGGCTGCAAGCGCCAATAACATCATTGTAACAATATTCACCAGCAACATATCCTACACAGAGGACAGTTGTCACACAGATTGCAAACAATTTAATACTCATCTTGATACTGAAAATTATTTTAAAAAATATTTCAATTAAACCATGATATTATACTGGTCTTTACTTATTGGGTAACAAATTTAAATGTTCTACAATAAGGAAAAATACCTTTCAAAAATAAATAAGAAAAAATTATAGCAAATAAACTAATTATATTAAAAGGACGTTAAACTCATCAAAATATGTATGTGACAAATTTCCTTTAAAAACACATTTAAGCGTTCAAAGAATATGGGTCGTAGAGCGATTTTATTGTAAAAACCCCTATAAACAAAATTGAAGAGGGTATTAAAATCTAGTTCTGTAAGACCCCGATATTTTATTTTTTAAATTGAAGTCCTAAAAAGAATTCTTGAAAAAGGTTAAAAATAAAATAGGCATTATTAAACATGTAATATCATACAGTTTTACAGATATTTTCAAAAATCAGGCTTCTTATGGAACTAGATAGGAATCTCTTTTACAATATTGTTATTAGGTGTTTTTACAATAAATCGACTCAGTAAAACCTATATTTTTTTAACGTGTAAAGTATGTTTTATAAGAAAATCATAGAAAATTTTGGCCTGCCGCGATGGTGACTATATGGCTAACACAGCTATCTCTTGAGTGTTATATGTCTAAACATTTCCATAAGACGTTCGCTTAAAAATAATTTAATTTAAAAAAAATGCCTTTTAGATGTATTACATTAGAATGTAATTTAGAGTTATCACAATATCATAATAAAATGACTTATCTGGCTGTCCATAATATATTATACATTATATATTATAATATGTATACTTACCTAAAGTAAATTTTATTTGTAAGACTATTTTGTAGACTCCTATAATTTGGTACATAGTATACTTAGGACCTATTATTATTTTTATTTTTAGTTGGGTAGTTTATGGTAAATTGTTTAAGAAAAAAGTAACTGATGACAACTATTCTCTAAAACTAAACATGACAGAAACCTATAAGCAATCCAAATAAAAATTCTACCAAACAGGCGACTAAACTATATCTTAATATCAACAATAACTCATAAAAAATATTGACTTCAACAGCAACTTTAAACTTAAATTAAATTAAATGCTCAATTATTTTATTGGTAATTGTAATCACAGAAGATTATCAATTTAACATAATACGTTATATTTCTCAAATTGTCCTTATTATAATTAATGACTTCTGAGTAACATATAAACATAATATATCAATTTATTCTGATAAATTAAAGTGATAATGTGAATAACAATTATGTTCTTTTCTATTGGTTTAATAATTTGAAGTTAAGAATAAAATAATAAAGGCTATAATTCTCAAAATAAAAAATTGGGAAAAATAACATATTACCCTAACATTGCCTAAACTACCTACCTAATCAAAACAAACTAATGAAAAGTAATTTTTTTTTACAGCTTCTATATAAACTTTAAGCTATTTATGTGGCTTACACCCATACTGTAAGCCAGTGGTGGCTCATAAGATTCACATAAGATGGAGCACAAAAAAATGCATAAAATACCTATGTAAGATAGTAAAAAATATTAATTTTGTAACAATATGATTTTAATCTGTTTTTATATATAACAGTTATTAGCTTATTACTTATTACTAATAAGTTATTAGTTGACTTGAGAGCATACTGGTAGCAATTAATAGATAATGTACATTGTACTGAAGTGCATTACTGCATTATCGTTCCAACAAACGATGCGACGAGACAGTAGACATAATAAAAATTGGTTCTGTGCACACATTAAATGTGCTTTAAACCACCATATATAACTAACTGATGTGTCGAGGCTTGTAGCTAATATTTACACGGCCACCCGGAGCACAAACAACTTGTTTAATTATTTAATCATGTATAGACATTTTTTAACATAAAAAGCTGCAAACAATTTTTTTTTATTGTTATATTATATTTTTTTTTTATTACAAACTAAGATCATAATAATCAATTATATGTTACTAAAGGAAACTAATAATTTTTCAATACATTTTTTGGGAGGTATATGTGCTTCTGTGCACCATACCACAAGCTGCTATAGTTTAAGCATACTTGAATTGAGGCATACAACCCTAAGCTAATCTCTATGCACAATTATCACATACAAATACTTATGATTACAAAAAATTCAGATAAAAAAGTAACTAAGGCCATAGGCCCCCATTACCTATTATGCAAGTTGTGAGTAGAAACTAGAGTACTAGACAGTTATATTGTCCACTTGAGTGTTTATCATTAAATACATTATATTGTACTATCATACATCTACTTACACCAGTATTTCATACATTTTTTAAGTTCTAAATATTATAATTATCAGTTCTTAGATTATATACATCATATTTGAATGGGTACTACTTAAACCATTCATTATGCATTATTTAAGGTATACAAGATACATTCAATTATAAAATCTATATTAGACACCTATAAAAAAGATACCTTTTGAAGGATGAATCAAAATATTTTAAAACAAATGTTAAAATTTAATCTAGGTAGGTAGCTATTAATCAATGCAGCTACCATGCCTAAAAAACCTATTAATTCCTAAAAGTTTTTTCGAGTCAGCAAAACTATCTTAACAATAGGCAACTACAAAATGTGGATTTTTAAAAATATATATTATTTATTATATAGCCATAAAGGTTAGGTTTGGATCAATGTTACACAAAACATAATACACATCATAATCCTTTAAATGAAAAAACTTTAGTTTAAACRATTAATTGAAATTAAATAAATATTTGTGGTGTATTATGATTTATACAAATGAAATATGTTATCTGGTTACAATTTACTGCTACCATTTCAGTGTGTGGGACCTTAACTTGGTAAAATGTCAATGATCAGCCATCATAATTTTAATAATCACATAGGCATTTTTATTTTCAAGTTGTATCACAAACTATAATTTCCTAAATCACTTTTAAAATGTTACAAATAAAACAAGTTATTTAAAAATGTTGTTATATATAATTATATGTTGCTAATAGTTGGTTTCTTTTGTCTCATCTATTTATCCATGAAAGTACTATTTCTATTAAACATAAATTAACTTCTTAGTTGATTTACCTGCTTAAAACAATTTATTAACCAATAAATAAGACTCATAATTAATACCTAACTGAAATTTTTGAAAAAAAAAAATAATATAATTTATTCTTCTTTAAAATATCAAATTTGTAATAAGTACCTATGATTAAACGAATGCCATTTATAAATGTATAGTTTTAAATAGGTAAATTAAATAAAAATTTAGTTAGCATTATATTAATAGTAAATAATTGCTTAAGATAAAATTAAAAGGCAAAAGAAACCAATAGTAAACGATATTTATTGTATACACAATAAACATGCAGACATATTACCTACACCTAGTTATAATAATAATAATAACATAATAGGTAGGTACCAAGAATCATGTATAAATAACCAAAAGAATTTCACTATATTGTGACATAAGGAATTGAATGGTTTTACAGCACGATAGACAGCATCAGTGTAATAGTATTATTATGTTTACCTACATCAATATCTAATTTTATCATAGGAATTTTGTTGTTTTCAATTTTCCTCTTAGTTAACTATACACAGTGTTGAACAGGTAGATGATATTATATTAGTGGTAGTGAGGGATAAACGAAAACAGTAATAATAATAACAATGATATAGTGAATAAATGGTCGGCGGGCGACGCGACCGTAAAATGATAAAAAAAAAAAATCATACTCACTATGCGCGTTAGTAATGGCCGACGGACGCGGAAACAGACGTACAGTGACAGCTACAGAATGGACTGGTACTGGTCGACGGTCGACCGTAACGAAATGCACTCGAAGCGATTCAAGCGGTGACGTTTTGAACGGAGGAGGAAATCGGGACGACACGCCAGGGGGGCTGGTAAACAAAAGCAGGCGAGTACAAAGAGCGTTATTGTGAACAGCACACCATTATAGACAACACGGTCAACAATAATCGGCGCCGTTAAAATAGATAAAACGCAGAATGTAGAAAAAAATAACGATTAATCATACATATATATATATTTTTTTTTATATAATTGTATTACAATGAATATCGACTGTGTAATAAAAATATTATAATATTGTTTCAATATTTAATGTACGGCGCGATAATAACAATTACAAGCTGAGCCGCAGACCAGCTGAATTGTCGATCAACAAGACAAACAGAATACGACAACAAAAATAGGGAAGGAAAATGACGCAGCAGGCCGCAGTTCGGTCTTTGGTATTTCGCGGGGTGGCGGATTGGTAGAGGTATGCTCGGCGGGTTCGGTAGGCGTTTACAGTGACCGTGGTGACTGAACGACGGGTTGGTTCGGGGCGGTGTACCCTCCCCTCTTCTCCCCCGCGACCTCATACAGAAGGTCGAACAGCGTGTAGCCCGGTGTAGGGTGCGATCGGCCTCGGCGGTGGCATCCGAAGCTGATCGACGAGGCGGGGCAGTGTACAGCACTACAGCGAGCGCGCGCCGCCGTGTCGACTCTTGATAACGACTAACGAGTGCCGACCGATTACGATTTTATATTTGTGTTCCCCGCCGATGTAGACATTGTGTGTCAACCTTCCATTGTGAGTTTGTAACTCGTTATTATTCGTTTACGGCACCGTCGCTCGAGTACCAGTTGGATTTTTCTTTCTTCGGATCGTTTTGTTCATCACAGGTACGACTTGCATCGTTTTCCAAATGCATTAATATAACGTTGAACACGTTTTGGTACAGTTTTAATGTTGTTATTATTATTTTTTTTCTTTCCGCATCTCTTCGCCCCGCCCCCTCGCTCCCGCCAAGCTGATCCATTATTATTTTCTTATAACACAATATGATATAATAGTAATATTATATACATACTATTTATAATTAACGTTTGCCCGTCATTGTCATCGACTTATTCCGCGACCAGTCTCGTCCATTGCGCACAATTATTATAAATTATAATATTATCCGTTGTTATTGTCGCTACATTTGTTTTAACGTTTCAGTTTCAGTCTCTGTCTTGAGTCTTCAACGACATCGTTCGTAGCACCCATCTCCACATTTGTGTCCGCACACCAAAAACATGTTCAAACTCTCGCTGCTCTGTGTGGCAGTCGCTCTCTTTGTGGCCACCCAAGAGGCGCAAGGAAAAATGACATGTAAGTGATGTTAATATCACCTATATATATTATGTTTTAATTGCGTGTGTGGTAATTTTATTTAATATTTTATTTTTTAGGTAAACTGCCTCAGGTCCAAATTCCAGACGATTGGATTTCCATGGTCGACCCATGTACAAAAAAAATGAAAGAACAAGTCCAGGAAGAACTCACTGCAGCAATGACATACTTTGCAATGGTAATTAGAAATGATTTGATAATTTTTCAGAATCTGTTGATTTGCATGAATAAGAAATAAATGACGTACCTATAAAAAGTGAGAACTCAAAATATATTAATAAGTGCTAATAATGTATATTTTTAGGGAGCACATTTCTCTAAGGACACAGTGAATCGTCCAGGATTTGCAAAAATATTCTTTGATAGTGCTAGCGAAGAACGTGACCATGCTATTAAAATTATCGGATATTTGTTGATGAGAGGAGGTTTGACCAAAGATATCAGTCAGTTAATCCGTGACCCTGTATGTAACATATATCTATAAACCCTGTTCTATAACTTTAGCTGGTACTGTAATATTTATACTTTTTTTATTGATAGCAACCTTTGTCTGAATCATGGGCTGATGGTTTAAGTGCATTGAAGGATGCTTTAAAATTGGAATCTCATGTCACTCGTAAAATAAGAGATATTGCCAAAACATGTGAGGAACCTGGACGTGATGGACAAGATTTCAACGACTATCATGTGAGTAGTATACTATTTTATCAATGTTACGTGACATATTTTTAATTTAAAAAAGAATTGTAATTAATGAATGGATATTTAAAAAGAGTTTTTATCAAATTAATACTTCAACATTTATTCTTTGTTGATTTTCCACTATGGCTTTATCAATTGGAGTGTTTTTAAGATCACTTGAGTCTTAATGGGATGTTATAATTATATAATTTAAATGGATTATTGTATGGATAGTGTACTTGGAATAATAACTAATATTTTATCATTAAATTAATAATAAACTTATTATAATAGGTAACTCTGAAATATATTCATTATTTTATTATCTATTATACAATACCGTTTTAAGTATTACATCAACAAAGAAGGTGAAAAACTTATCACAAAAAAAAATATCCAATGTAAGACTTATATTAAAAATAGTTTTAACTACCTACCTACTTGTATGCACTTTTTGAGTACTATTGACACCATTATCACAAAGATACTATTATTATCTTTAAATTATTCCCTATAATAAATCAAACATTATATTAATTGTAAATTATAAATTAATACATACATTATATAATTACAAAACCATTATTTACTTAGATTTTAATTATTGATGAACATCCCATTCTTCAATTATGAATACATTTGTAAGTTGTTGGAAAATCACTAAGATGATTTTTGAGATGTACTTTAACAAGTTTATCTGATAGGTAACTATTCATGATAATGTACAATACGCACATAAATAATAAACATGAGAAGCTATAATTTTTTACTTATAGCTAGTTGGCAGTAAGGTGCATCAAAAAAAATATCAATACAATATTTACATTTCTCTTATAATCTTTCAAAAATAATATTCTAAACTTTTTGTTTCTCATTGGGAAAAATTAAAATTATACCAAGACCATTTATATAGTTACTTTTGCATACATTTTTTTTTCTATTTATCATAACTTATTTGCTTGCCATCATGTTATATAAGCTTATTATTTCAGATTTATACATTTCATAATGAATACCTTATGTACAAAACCTCTATCTTGTCACTGAATATATTAACGCAATGAATTACCCAGACAAATATTGATTTTACATAAATGTTATTTAACAATGGTTTTTTTTTAGTTGCTTAATTTGTTTACATTAAATTAGTTACATTTCCTATATGTGTTAAATATGTTTACTTTAATTCCTAAAGCAACCATTATTTGCTGTAATTAATTTACATCATGTGTTATATTTGTTTCATATAATGCTTACAATTTTATATAGTATATAAAAGATAAAATAAATATTTAAATAACACATGTTACTGAGAAGTATAACAACAATAATGATAAGTCAAATTAAATTTTATACTGATAAATCATGTATAAAAATAAATAACTTGGCGTGCTCTTCTTTATTAATTAATAGAACATGCATCTATTACATTTATTGTCAATTAAATCTTAAATGGTTTTCTTATTTATATGTATATTTACTAATTTCACTAATAATCATGCATCAGTTCCATGTATTAAATATAATAGGTACCTATGTTATATAATTTTATATTTATAATAAAAGTGAAAAGTTTACTAATTTAAATAATAGCTATTCAACTAAGAAAATTGTGTTATATCAAATAACAATACACCTTTTTTTTATCAATTTAAACAGATTTAAATAAATGGGTTTTGTTTAATTATTTTCAGTTAGTTGATTGGTTGGTTGGAGATTTCTTGACTGAACAATATGAAGGTCAACGTGACTTAGCTGGTAAAATATCCAATCTTGATAAGATGTTGGAAGCACATGGAGCTCTTGGTGAGTTCCTCTTTGACAAGAAACTTTTGAGTGGAGTTTCAGTTTAATATACATTTTTATGAACAAAATAATGAACTACCCTTAATTATGAACATTACTCAAACATTTTTTTTTTTTAATGTAATTATCTAAAATGATTACTACTCATAGATAAAATTAACCAACTATGGTATTTTAGCATAGTAAATGGTAAAATACAATTTTATTATATTTTTCACAAACATAAATTAAAAATATATATATATTTATTGCTACATTGTATTACATGATTTTCTTTTTTTAAATTATTTAATTAGTGTAAAATTAAATTACTTTTTAATATTGTTGGCCATAATATCTACTTTTAATCAAATTACATCTATTATATTACTTTATTTGTAAGTAATTATTGTACTCTGAAACTTAGGTTCAATCACAATAAATCAAATTTGTGTTTTTTAATATATTTTATTTGTGTACGGCAGTGCTTGAATTGAAAAAAATATTAGAAGAGGTTGCATATTATATGCAAAAAAAAATTACGCTACCTGAGTATTTAAGGGTCTAATTGATTATTATTAGAAGGGGTACGCATAAATATTTTTTTAAAGCAAAATAGCCCAATCCTCTTTCAATTCAGACACTGACTCACAATTGCAAAAACAAATCCCTACAGATTTGAACTCTTTATATTCCTTCATCAAATATAAAAACCCATATCTATTTGTGTTGAATCTATTTCTAAAAAATATTCATATCAGTCTTAACTGTGTCGTTTGTTATAAAATTATTATTACTTTAAGTAATAATATCAAACTTAATTTTATCATAAAATTCAAATGAAACCACAATTTTAGGAACTTATTTATAAACCAAATTTTGTACAATTTATTTTTTGTATCATTCTTTAAAATAATAAAGTCATCAAGTATCAATATAGGTGTATTGTGCAATTAAACTACTTGTGATGTATGAACTTTTTATTTAAAAATATATTACTTATTTATTATATTTGTGTAGTTTTAAATTATTTCTTCACTAATAATATATATTATATTACTACCATAGTACTATATTATATATATACTCTATATACTAAGTATATCACAGATTCAAACCAATGACGTCTTGTGACCATATACAGATAAGACAAGACTTGCAAATTTATTTTTTACCATGATAATTTATAAAATATATGTCAGCAAGATAACCAATAATCACTACCATAATAATATGTCAACATACTAGAATTTCGTTCCTTCTTACCTCCTATTAGCTACTAGCACTGCTAGTACGTAAGTTACAGGTATTAATGTATTTAAGTATTATATCATTATTATCTATGGCACACATTTACGGATTTACTATTCCATACATGTATATGGTAATTAATGAAGCTTGGATTTAAATGCATTTGCATCTTTTTTTGGAATTTCTTACATGATACTTTCTAAGCTATAAATGTGTTTCAATGTTTAACCACAAAATGTATTTCGATAATTTTTAGGCCATTTTTTATGGTTTTAATGAATTTTTTATATTTTAAGACATTTTTCTTTTCTCATATTATGACTGAAAAAATTGAATTCATTGAAATTTAAACACAGTATTCCGTCATGTTGATTTTTATTCATTTTGAACTAAATATAAAATCAGATGATCTAGCTGGTTTTAAATAAGACAAGGCTGAAATTTGTATTTATGTAATATGTTAGGTACACCATTTAATGCAACCAATTTATTGATATAATTGCATATAACTTTTATCGAAGTATTACACTGTAGTTCAGAAGTTCTGTGTTGTACAAACGTAATTTGTTGAATTTGATTTTTTTTAAGTAACTACACAATTTTACTTATTATTAAAGGCATTTTTTGATATTTTTAGGTCATTTAAATCCGGACCCTAATTGTAATTAATATACATGTATGACTCGTAGATTAATAAAAAGAAATAAAATTGCCCAAAAAAATGCCTAATTTTGTAATAATATGAAAAGCTTTTCTGATAACATTGTTATTACTATGGAAGGCGAAAGGTGCTTTGCAGCTGCTATTTTCGGGAATGCCTCGACGGTAACTATAATGGCTATAATATAATGATAATTTTTCGTTTTTCTACCCATCATAGGTATTAGGTACCAACGAGGTTAGGTAAGTACCCGTACGAAACATAGCATATAGTAGATAATCAGTTATACTATATCAATTTCTACAAGAAAAAAATTCCACTATGTAGGTACCTACCTACATATAAGTTCTCACATAAACAATCATTACACCTATGTAGGTACGTTACTTTCTTACATGGTGATAAAATTTAATGCATTACTTTTTGCACATTCTAGACTTATGAATATTATCTACCCTTTAGTACGAAATAGTAAGGGCAATTGTTGAATTCACGTGGTATTTATAGTTGATTGTTAAAAATTGGATTAATGACGTTTTTTATGATCGTTCCTATGCCTTAACCACGCTGACTACATTTAAGTAGTTCGTCCCAAGTCTAAATAAAGTGTGATGGAAATCTATTTTATTATCAAAATGATATCATTTTCATTTAACAATAAAGTTTTGAATATAAGAATTAATAAATATCTACCTAGCTATTATAATTTATACGTAAAGGTATGTTAATATTATTGTCGAGATACAATAATTTGATGATAAAATCTCAATAAAGACGAAAAAGCTATTAGGTACCTATACATTTTTTTTATCTTGTATGAACGTTCTTATTGTAGATTTTTATATGCAATAGGTATTTGGTGTGAGAACTTACAGTAATGTTTCCTAATATAAAGGCTTGTTACGGATATTATATAATATTATATACCTAATATTATTACGTTTTTATGAAATATGTATTATGTGTTAACACTGTTAACAGTCCTTCGGAACGAACTATACCAGCTTAATAATGAAGTTTCAAAATATATGCAGGTAACAGGTGTATTGAATATTATTATACAGCTATACCTACATCTGGCCACCTACCTATTATATGTATTCGATAATGATAAAGTTAAAACTATGTCTCATTCAGGGATGACTATTATGTAAGATTATAACTGGACAAGTTTGTTTCCTTAAATTTACGAAATTTTAAATTTGTATACACTTGAGCAAGCGGACGACTCGTGTTTAGGATCAGGTTATAATTTTCGCTTTCCTGGATACATATGTGCGGCATTTGGTGAACTATTTTTCAAGTCGATATCAAATTATGAACACCGCACAAGTATTTTGCCATTAAGAAACTGTGATATTTTGGTATGGCCAATTTTCAGTTTTGTTGATAGGTATACCTAATCATTTTAAAATGTCTGCAGTACCACTCAAGATATAATGAACCTATGCGTTCTATTCAGTTCGGTATGGTTTAAGAGGACGCAACATTGACATTTTTTGTTATATAATATGTCTTACAAGTGCGTATAACATATCAATGTAGCCATGTAGGTATTACACTCAGAAAATCACGTGTAGCTCTGTTAGTTTAAAAATTAGATTGAATCGACCTCTTATAAAACGTCTTGATGGTAAGAACATTATCAATTTATGCTATGTTATATGTATTGGTAAAAAATTGAACTATCGTAAAAATACCCACATACAAACACAGATAATAATGTTCTTACCATATCAAGTTTCATAAGAGTTCGATTCGCTCTAATTTTTAAACTATATAGCTGACCTAATAGTGATCTGCTGATCGTAAATTCGATATGCTAMGCACTTGTAAGACGGAGACAACAAAATGTCAGTGTTATGTCCTCTTAAGTCGTCACTTCAACAGCACAAGTATAAGTATACTACGTTTTGTTTGATAAAACAAAAGTCGTACAGAATGGTAAAATACTCTTCAATGCTAATGACCGTTTCATTTTGAAACATAACAAGTTAAAATGTAGGTATGTAATTTTATTTTATTGTCACAAACACATAATTGAGACATTTTAAAGATATATTATTACACACGAATAATGTACTTACAGATCATTATTAGTTTTTTCAAAATGTGTAGTAGGTTATATATATCCTACTATATTCATCTAGTCTAGTATATACCTAGATATACATCTATGATTTTGATTTGAAGTAATTTCTGAAATGTATTTGTTTTTATTTCTTCGAAAGATACTTATAAACATTTTATGGAATGTAAAATACGTCAAAGAGCAAATATTCTTAAAAATATTGTAGTTTTTCTACTTTTTTTCAGCAGAACAATGCGTGGAGTGAACGCATTAATTCGTTTCCAAAACAGATTTCAAAAAACTACCTATACATATATATATATATATATATATCATTTTCTAATACCTATTCGTGTTGTTGACAAGGAATTTTAATATTACAAGCCCAACGATGTGTTTTATATAATATAATATACCTATATCTACTATACGCGCTTGTGTATAGGCACACGAGTTAAGCTAAAGCGTGTGTTTCTTATGAAAGCATATAATATTACTTTTAAATAGAAACCAGTTTTTCCTTTTATACATAATGGGATCTAGTATAATATGTAAAAACGCGAGACAAAGACCTCGAAAGACCTCGAAGATCATGGACAGCAATGGTCATCTTATCAACGTATCGTGCGCCTCTCAAGCGGGTATTTCGAAAGTCTTAGGTATTATTTTTTTAATTTTATGCATACTCTTTTAGGCAGTAATAAAATACATCCAAAAAAATACTGGTTTTCATAACCATGGCAGCAGATGCAATTGTGCGTATACCTATATAGAATCATATACATACACCTACCCGGAATAAGAAAAAAATAAAATATATATATATATAATATATTATTAATTATTATAAGTACATAACTGGGTGAGGCACACCGAACTGTAGATTTTGAAAGAATTTTGACTCGTTTAGTAGGTATATTAAATATACCTATACTAAAATAAGTTTACCAAAAAAAAAATGCATTAGGATATATTTTTTTCGAGTGATCTGTTGCATGTATAATATGTACGAATGAAAAACGTACGCCAATTAATAGTTATCGTTGAGAATCTGCAATTGTATTGATTTTACATCATTTCATTTTCAGATCGGGGGCGAAGTATAAATACCTATTTTTAGAAATAACTTAAACACATATAATATCGTTACAATATTTCACTTAACTAAACCACTTTCTTAACTTCTTATTGATATAGCGTTGAATGCACAAGATGCTTCGTTACTTAAATGCTACTAATTTTAATTTTTAACATAAACATTTATTGTTCTGACGCCAAACTTCATCGTAACT